ATCAGCTGTTTCTTGTGCTCTTCTTCTAACTATCCTTTCCCTCTCTTGAGTTTATCTTGCAGTCGTTTCTTTTGCCGTCTCTTGCAATTTCCTTTCTCCCATTCTCTTAGCTATTTTTGAGTTCCGTGAATACACTGACTTTAAAACTCGTTTGGGCATCTTGACATACTTAGATAGGGGGTGTAGTTTGTGTGTGCACTTTACAAAGTTGAATGTTTTGGAAACTGCAAAGTAACTTATACATACACACAGATATATATCATAACACTTACATTTAATGTCAAGGCGGGAAGAAACATGCGACCTCTTTGAAGTAATGGTGAAACACGTGATTAATTAATTTATGGTTATTGGCAACGTTATAGAAAATGTTGCAAAGTGTTATTTTTGTGTAAGGTTGTGGCGCCATCTATGAATGTAGTTAACTTACGTCAAAGCTAATAAATGCTGAATAACAGCAACAATGGAGGGTGGAAGGGTTGTGAATCCCCATTAATATGTCCCTTGTTCAAAACTATCATCACACAAAGTTTGGTTGAGATTGGCCCAGCAACCTAGGTGTTTGTGCTTTATATATATAGATGGTATAATGAAAAGAATTTTAAAATACAATTGAATACTATCTATTAATTACAGTTTGAGCAATACATAAACACAATCGCTAGGTAGACAATATACAAAATATCAGTTGTGATATTTATAATAAATATAAAGTAATGAAAACGATTTTTTTTATTAAATGGCTGAGCAGGTTTTACGAAAGAACAAACATTACGAACATGTTAATGAAAAATTACAAAATAGTATATTTATATGAAACAAACAACATCGCTGTTGTTATAGTGACACATTTGTTAACATATATTTTTTCAATGACACATCCAGTTTTCGGTCCTTTTTTTTATTTTTCTCTTAATCAGAGACCCCTTGGGTCCAGTGTTCCAGGGCAGTTTCAAACATTTGCCCTCCCTCTAATTCGATAGCTCTCCCCCTAGTGGCTCAGCGGTAACTCTTTAAAGCTTATAACACTAAAAAGCGGGTTTCGATACCCGTGGTGGGAACAACGCAGATAGCCTGTTGTGTAGTTTAAGCTTAGTAACACACAAACCAAAATCTAATACGACCTTGATCACGCTTGTATCCTGCATATTAAACTTAAGCACAAACCTTATATTTAATTTACCTAAGTAACAACTCATATAAAAAAAAAATTCCCGGGAATTATTTATTCTTCTTATTATTAATAACAGATATTACATGCGTTTATTGGATATTTGGCCGAACTTTTAACCTAAACCTATTTAAACAGCATCTCATGTATAACTCGTGTAACATGTTTTATCACAGCGGGGATAACAACACACAACTTGCTATACAATAAGAAAATGTAGTTTTTTTTTATATAAGATGTTATATACAGTATATTTTAAATCTAACCATTACTTACCCTAAACTTCTGGATACAAACAGCTTTGCACGTTAGCTAAGTGCATAGACTTTTATAACAGAGATCCATAAAACACACGATCACAGCTTTATTGCAATGTTAGTGGATTATCATCTCAAAGCTACACAAATGATGACAAATGGGGAAGTGGAGTCAACTCAACAACTGATAAAAAAAAGTTTAAAGTGAGAAGTAAAGAATGAGTTGTGAAAACATAACGTTGTATAGCTGCCTCACTCTGTTCTGATGGGAATTAACTTACTAAACACAAACATTTTACACATTTTTCATCACTTTTTGGTATTTTTATCAGGATCAAACACTTTTAAGGATTATTGGAAGTTATCCTCCGTTTCTTACCAACTTAGTCAACGGTTCAGTTGCACACCAAGGTCGTCGTCGTGTCTTCTCCTGTCCGCCCTTTCAGCAGAGTTCAGCGGTCCAACAGCCAGGCAGTTTACCAGATATTCAAGACGATCCGTACAAGCTAACACAAGATGTTCTTACCGAGTTGTTTTCAGATATTAGAAAGGTAAATTAATTGATATCCTAAAACGTAAGTATAACGAACTTGTTTAATTTTGAAAGATTAGTCCTTTGTTTAAAAAAATATTTTTATTTTATTTGTTTATTTATCATTTCCTTTAGTGTATTTTGTATAAAACTTGAATAAAATTATAAATCGGTTTCTAATTATGATTTTTAGTCTTTGCGACTAGACGAGTAATTTGTTATAATTAGAATAATAATAAAAATAAACTTCTGAGGAGCTTTAATTTCTGGCCCTAATATCACCTTACTTGATCCCTAATTCAAACTGGGGAGGTGGACTCCATCCATTTTGTCTTCAACATCCTTTAAACGTTTTAAAATCACTTTAAAATATTTGTCTCCGTCAAGGGACTGTATTATTTTCTCCCAGCTGTTAATACTTTTGAATACAATTATTGAATCATCAGGGCCAGTAGTAAGATGTTTGTCTTAAAACACTAAAATCCTGCGTTTGAAAGATAGCTGATATTCCATTGTATAGCTTTGCGCTAATAAATAAGAACAACAACATTATGATCACCTGACAAAAAAAAAAAACAAAAAAACGCGAAAATGCCACTTTGTTAATGTGTTCAGTGCACGAATGGATAAAGTACGTGATGTAAAACTCGTTTGCCCCCACATTTTTAATGAAGTAGACGCTTTTGCTCCAACTTAATTAAAGTTGGTATTTAAACTGTATTTAATTATATGAAAGTTGCAAATAAGAATGCAGAAGGTAGCATCCAAACAAACTTTGTATCGTTGTAAAAGTGGTCAAAAGAAACCAGGATGGAAGGTTGAACCGAATACTTAAATGACGAATGTTAAGTTTATTATCTCCAAATTCTCTTTCTTGTGAAATTTTTCAAGAAATGCATTACCAATTAAATTTAATACCAGACAACACACACACAAACTGTTTCTCGTTGTTTTCAGTTAATTCGTTACAACTTTCTAATCCAAATCGTGATTACATTTACAGGAATTATGGGTCCCGATGGAACACCTGAAACAAATATCTAGATACTACTTCGACGGAAATGGTAAAATCTTTCGCCCGATGTTAGTTGCTCTTGTTTCTAGGGCAGTGAACTATCACATGCACGACACCAGGGAGTAAGTAAACCTCATTACTACAACACTCTACACCTAATGCACTTTTGGGGTTAGATTAACAGCCATCGTTACACAGGGCTGTTATTTTCAAGTCAAATAGCGAATTTTTATAATAAAAAAAAAGAAGAAAAAAAAAATATAATGAGTTTTTCTATCAATCTTTGTTTTGTCTTTGATTTTAAGAATTAATGACAGAAATATTAATTATAGGACTAGAAAAGTGTAGATAAACAGGTGTGGTTTTAAGGAGGTAATTTAGGCCAGAAGTAACAAAACATTTGGTACTATTACTGACATTAATGGGCGTCTTCTCATTTTATTCTAATCATCATTGTGGCTCAGAACTTATTTAGGCTAAGCAAGGAAAAAACACGATATTATTTTAAACATTTACAAAGCAATTACGCGGTGCGTTTAAGCAAATCTTTGAAAATATTGAACTATATCTTTAATTAGTTACGTTAACATATTAATAACGACCCATGTTGGTAACCAAATCTACAGAGTTGAGTATATTACTTTAAAACGATTTTGAATATGCAAGTCAGAAAGCCACGTGCACAGCTGATATAAAGTCGCGACGGAATGGCATACATCAAATCTACCTTTTGACTTTTTAGACGTTACGTAGGTATTAGAATGTAGCCGAAAATCGATTGATTTTGTAAAGAGTATATAAAAACTCTTACCGACGCAAAATATCAATACACACATATCATAAAAATGTGTCAATAGCTAATATATATAATTTTGAAGATGTGGATATCCATCCTATTTAATGGCATTAGAAAACAGAGATATGGATCAACTTGGGGCGCCTAGACCCTCTACAAAGATGCCTGTAACAAGTCGTACCTCAGCCATAGTAAGCAAACTGTAGAGTCTTGTAACAGGTAAGAACCCACGAACACAAAGGTCAGTGGTAAATCTGTCCACTTATTCCAGGAAACAGCATACAACATAATACAGAAGGGTGTGGGTTCGCCAAAATAAGACTTCCAATCATACCAGTTGTTCAGCAGCCACATACCTCAAGCAGCTGGAGAATGAAACGGGTACTCATGCTATTCCATAAATAAACAACACAGCGCCTATATATTTCTGGGTGGCCGAACTGTTGAAACAGGCATTAGATAACCTATAATCCTTGTACACTAGTTGGATTATGCAAAACATAAAAGGAGGAATGGTATGTTTTGGACATAACAGCCTTAAAATGGAGACTTTTGCATTTAAAACTACGCTGCATAGATATTTGTCAAGATGCACGGTCGTCAAGTAGAGCATGACCGGACGTGGTGATATGGATGTGAATGCTGTAAAGCTCCAAAATCTTTTTAATATAACGTACTCAACGTCTGTATTATATTGTGTTTTTAGTCACTAGCTTTACAAAGATTGTCTTTTTTAATTCTTAAAGAAAACATCTTTTATACAGCTACATTTGAAACCCAAAATAAATTGGCAATTTCTATACAGAGAGTTTGAGGAATTTGGTGAATCTTTACTGTGTATTATTATTTGAGAAATAGACAAGAGTTAACAAGAAATACGTGAATGATATATTAAATGCTTCAAGAGTGTCCTGTATATTTGAGAATAAATATTAATTTATGACCTCTCTAGGGTATTGGAATCCCAACGAGAAATTGCTTTAGTTGCAGAAATGATTCACACAGCTAGCTTAGTTCATGATGACGTCATTGATACATCAGATACGAGAAGAGGAAAAGCTAGTGTGAATTTACTGTGTGGACAAAATAAGGTTTGTGTTATTATAGTTTTAGATCTAGGTTTTTAGTTTGATTTCCCGCATTATTTTCTGTTAAAACGTGCCTGAAACCATTATAAGAAATATTAAAAAAGTGTATTTAGGTAATAAATTAAATAACATTTGAGCAATTTGTATTAATACAGGTTCAATATTTCTGTGCACCTTGAATAAAGCTGACAAACTACCATGTCTAACCGATATAATTCAGTTTTAATGTAAAAAAAATGGTATGCCGAGATGATAGAACTTTCGAAATTTAACTTGTTATCACGAAATTAAACTTCCTATGTAAAAATACATTCAAAAATTGCAAAGGGCATAAACAGCAAAGAATATTTCTTTACATTTTTTATATAAATTTGTAAATTTGCTGAAAATTTGACAAAACCCTTAATAATGTTATTAGTGTGATCAAGATTTTGACATACTCGTTTCTTCAAAAGACACAAAATTATCCTTATAATTTGTAATACGTGGACTCAAACATTACAATTTATAAAGATTAACTGAGCAATTACAAAACATACTAATAATCTCTTTTATTGAGAATTTGTCAACATGATTTCTTGAAATTTATCTTTGCATAATATAGGTTACGAAATAATTATAATTTTAGGAAGCTTCTTTTGAGATTCTTCTATTCTATTTGACTTTATTATCTAACGGTTTTGAAATGTCTTCCTGACCTTTTCGTTTGTTCTATAAGCTGTTTGTGTCTATTTTCAACAATAATGCTGCTAGTCAATGACCTGACTGACGAATCAAACATAATGTGTTCGAAAATTGTAGGCACAATTTAATTCAATTTCATTCCGTAAGAATTCCAAGGTCCATTCACCATTTGTAGTCATTTATTGTCCAGCTTCTCTTGAATAATCTAAAGCATCGTAATTATTGGTTATGCATTAAATCTCTGATAGAAACCTTTACTGTGGCATTTCAACCTTTAAAAACTCTCTGTCGTTTTTGTATTATACGAGTCACTTTTGAAGTGTCCTTTCAGAAAGAGAACAGTAAAATAATGCTTAACTTTTATTCGTATCTTAGCTAAGTCTATATTTGAACCAAAATAGTGGTCAGTTTTTAGTAAGAATCAAAGTTTATTGTATTTTAAAGCTATTCGTTTTATTCTTCTTTTGAGAAATATGATGTAGGAAATGTTTCTATAGATGGTCATTGTGCCTTTCATCAGCTGTACATCCTTGTTGATTTTTTCAACTTAAATAAGGATGTTGGCAATTGTTTTATAAATATTTTGGCGTTTAGTATTTAGGTTTTGAACATGTAAATTAATTTTCTTAGCCAGTGTCTTCTTCGTCATTGGTAGTAGTTTGATGACATTACTTTGTCGTTATCCACATAGACACACATTTGGCTTTTCCTATAATTCTTAATACAACTATTCACTCGTGATCTTACTATAAAGGACGAAAACAACGTTATGTATTTATCTATCACTCGGATGTAGTACAATAAATATAACATCAAATGTTGTATCGTTAGAAAGACAATTTTCCCTATATTTCCTAACAGAATTCGAATTTCGAAAATGTTGTCTGATTCAGTTGCAACATCAGTTTTCAGTTCCTCATACTTTGGTATTCTCAGGTTAAACTGATTTCTGCGAAGAATGTTAGGTAGGTCTGCTTTATAACAGGAGGGTCAGCAGGATAAATTATAATGAAACCTGAACTTAATTACTAACTGAGTTCAAGCTAAGAAATATATAAGACTGGACACTATCTGTTACGCAAACTGAAAACGATCTTTATTAATTTAATAGACAAAAACCCAGGGTTTATACTTGATTTCTGGACACTGAACGGTCACCATTTACTGGATTAGTGAATTGACCAACAGATTTTCTTCCCTCAAGGTGTCCTCCCCGAGATTCTATGTGTACTGTTTAAACCTAACATTTCTATCTGAACAGGAAATGCCAATTTTACCCCATAGCATCTAGCACTAACCACATTCAACACATGAGAGGCCATAATCTTTAGATATCATCAGTTTTACTAGTGAAGGTCACTGCTATTGGACTTTTTGTACAACATGCAGCATTACAGCAATATCAGTCAAAGGCAGAGCAGGTATAACCTCTAGAAAGCAACAAAGGCAGCTAGACCAAAGTCAACTTAATTGTTTTATGAACGACATGTTTATGTGAAAACTGCATAGACTCGAAATGAGAATGAATAAACTGTACTGTCTGCCAACATACTACATTTTTCCTCCCACTTCTCCTTTGTTTCAGGCTTGTTTTCAAGCCAACAAATAAATTTAACTTCAGAGCTAATCAACTATACACTCCCAACATGTTAAAGAAGCATATTAATTTTCTATTGTCCCTGTAAACATATCACATTCAATATGAACGACACAACCCTTAAACAAAACTCTACAACTTAAACATCAAAAAGCAAATCCCTTTAACTAGAGAAAATGTACTGCACTAGACAATAAAAAATGGAATAAGATTAATATATATATAAACCTTTTTAATGCGTTACCATGTAAATAAAACACGGTTAATCAATAAAATTATATAATTGCATCTTGAAACAATGAAATGATATATATATATACATACATAACAAAGTAAAACCCTTTAACCCTATAGGCACGGGTGTGAGTCCAAATACGCATTTTACGACCTTATACTGAGTATTACCAACCTGTTGATACGTATTTTATGTCAGAGTTATCAACTATTCATTTGACCCTACGTTTCTTATTTAACGATATTTCGTCGTAGATGAAAGTAAATACCAGATACAGTTGTATAGGGACACTGAAAAAAAAAAAAAAACTCTAGATATTATTTCGAAGGCTCTAGAGGTTATGCTAATAAAATGTGCAAACTGTACGATAGGCAAAAGTATTTTCATTCTTCACATGAACAATAACTTGTACTCCAACTTATCAGAGTCTGAGTCAGACTGATGTCATCAATTCACAGTAATATCTTGAGAACAAATAATTTATTTACACGTATGTAACCTTGTGTGCAACAAACTTGTATTTTTTGCTGAAAGCTTGCCACATTTCGTGACGGTACGCATAGTAATTTTGGAAGGATTATTAACATTAATTCTCCAGTACGGGCTTAGCTCACATTGAGTATGTGTACGTTGGATTAACAAGGAAAATTATATAATACAAAAAATACCTTTTAATGAAGATCACACGTGCAAACACATGTACAAATTATATATTTTAACAAAGGGAACTTGCAGAAAGAAAAACAACTCTTTAACAAAGACTACCTACCCATTTTAGGATAGAATAGTCTAACACATTATGCATAATACTACTAAAATAACAAACACCCTTTGACATAAAAAACCCATACATAAGAAAAACTTTAACAAAAAAATTATATACATATAAAGTATTAGTACTATAAAAAGGACTATTAAAAACAAAAATTAAATCCTTTAAACAAACATAAAAATAACCCTTAATACTTTCATTGAGAGGATTAAACATATTGCAAACTTAAATACAAAAGTAAACTCTTTATGCACATAAATATCAATTAGTGCAGAAATAAGTCTTTCACTTAAAATACCATGACAACCTAAGAAAAGAACTATAGAAACATCTTTCAGCATTAACGTTTTAAGAAGCTCTTCATAAACTATAGCACAATATATTTATCTATCAACTGGTTTTCTGGAATAAATATTAAAAAGTAAGAAAAGAACTAAAATACAAAGTTACATAATTATACACACCACTTTTGTAGTTGTGTATAGATATATATATATATATAGAACATACAAAATACATTTAAATTATTCCAGTCAGTGGCCATCTCCTGGTAGTGTCTTGTACATAGCAATCTGCCCTAGCTCGTCAGGAGCTCTTCCCTCGATAGTCTTTTGGTTACTACCAGGGTTACTTAGCCAGTGATACCTTTGCAGATGCCAAAATAAAGATCCTTGGCCTCGCCTGGATGGTGGTTTGACCTTTCAGTGAATGAATGTACCCCTCATTGACTGAATACTCCTGGCAAGGTGCTAGTGAATAAGATGGTTCATGAGCTGACTGGCAGTTTGAGCTCCAGTCCAGTGGCAGCTGTTGCTGTCTGGAAACCTGTACCACCCTGACCTTTGTGAGGTCTGTTTATCCTTCCAGAAGATCTAAGCTCCAGAAATTTTTATTGGGTTTAAGGATGTTGTGTGCTTATTGAAGATATGAATACATGTGGTGTTGTATATGAGTGGTGACATTTCTTCATGGCCAATATTGACTCCTACTTGGGTGTCATCAGCAGGGGTGGTGTAGTCAGCTGATGGGCTTCTTGGAGACTCAACTCTCCCAGGATCAATGAGATAATCGTCAATGCTTTTTCTATGACAAATACATCCAGTGGAGGCTTCATTTCCACCACACATACTATTTACAGTGGGGCTTCTCACCCCTGGAATCCTCAGGGCCAACCTGATTACAGATGTGGTGAGTTTTTTCATACTCGATCTATTGACCAGCAATATATCTTTATCTAGAGGTTCAGCAATGATGAAAATTAGGCCAGCTCATGGAGACTGAGGTGTAGCAGCATAGTCTAAAAGCCCTAGGTATACTGGTCATCAACAAAGATGTCCAGATTATTTTACAGTCGGAGAACAAGTTTATTAATCAAGACAGCAACAAGGCAGGGTAATCATATACAGTGCAAGGCCACAAGTGCCAAACACATGATTATTAATATAGTCCTATATATATATACATATACATATATACAACCATTACTCATTGTAACATATGCTGGTAGCTTATAACAGACTTCCAACTTCCAAATAAATTACTTCATAACCACCTCATTTTGGGCAGCACAATGTAAATAATCACATAATAAACACATCTCCCACATTAAATGTAGAATTGACATTCACTTCAAGGAAGAATCTAAAAAATATGAGGTGAAATGTTTCATAGATCTATCACCACTCAGCTAGATGAGAAAATTAATTCTCTTGAGT